AAACTGTAGATTACAATTCTAGAACTATAAATTACTCAATTTGTTAATCTAAAAGAAAATATAAAAAAAAACAACAGATAAACGTTGATTCTTGTGTATCATGTGGTATGTTGAATGCAACACTGGTTCAGATTAGATGTTTGTGAAGTCAAAATACTAACCCTATAGTTTCATATGAATTATAAATTTAAATTGCAGATATTGACAAGCTAGAATATAAAATAGGAAGTTCTTATCTTTTCTATTTGCTAAAATATTGCTCATGTAATAAATCAAACATAGTGGCACCCCACCCACCTCTTTAAATTTTTGGAAATGCTCACTTATATACACTCACTTCTATATATGACATGAATAACCAATCATAAACTCAGAATGTACCCCTAGTGGTTTTCTAAGCCTTTCTAATGTACCTAGTGTCATTTCATTCTTTTTAAATCAAGATTTCAATTAGGTAGGTTGTCTTTAGTCTGCTCGAAATTTCATATTTTTTTTAGAATAAAATACATATTAGTTACTAAGCTTGATAAATTATAGTTGAATTCTATGGTATTGATGTAGTAATTTATTATTTTTTAGTTATTCAAATGTATATATAAAACCTAAAAAAAATTTTTTTTCATATCCTCCACGTGCAAAATTTTTAACTAGAAGAAATAATTGTTTGCTTTACTTCTTTATTTTTCTGTTGTATGTTTTAGGAAAAATAACTAAGAACTTAATTCAAAATAGCAATAATATATATACATATATATATAATGTATGATAATTGAAATTTGAATGTATTTTACAAAATACTAGTTGACTAAAACACAGCCAAGTCAAGTTACTTTGTACAGACCAAAGGTCACCTTTATGTTATTTCATATGCCAACATGAGTGCACGTGAGACGTGTCGTTGTAACTTCTGTATTGTTAGCCAGGCACGGGTGAAAGGTCAATATAAAAAAATAATAATAAACATACACTGAGTGGTCACAAGTAAATAGACACCTAATTTTTCGTCATTTAACTGATTTATGATGACTAATTTGTATTC